GGGCAAAATTTGCAGCGGTTCCGGAGGTTTTTTACTATTACTGATGCTTAACCTCCGCGGGACTTTTTACAAAACGCTCCGAAAAATGCCTAGTTCCGCAGCAACTTGGCATGCTAGTACTTCCGCGACACTTTGAATGTGTTGTCTCTCGCAATGTTGTTTCGTCAAGAAACGAAGTGCTTTCTCGAAAGCACTTCGTTATCATCCGTAGCGCAGATGATAGTGACTCGCAGTTAATAGGGTAAGGTTTCAATCTTGCTCGGTAACTTCCGGAACACCCTATTTGGGAAGTTCCGCCGGTTCAAGGAATTCCGCGGGTGACCCGGCGGAACTTCCCCAAACGTTCTGCGGAGGTACTGTCTAGTTTTCTAAGTGGGATGCTCTTTTTAACAGATTTCCGTAAGATTTACTGATAACACTGGATGATTTTTAGTGCTTTAGAACCCGTTGGGATATCCACAAACTAATGTTGTAGAAGTTGCTTATGCGGGGTTTAGAATCTTACCGACTACATGTCTGCCATGACATTGATAAAGGCACAGATATGCTAAGATGATGATTTCTAACAGTCATCACCTTCTCTGCGAAATTTTAACCATTATTGTCATCTTGGGTAGAGGCCCAAGTTGTGACACTGTTTAGTATACTGATGTCTTCAGTTGCTGAACAATCCTACTGCAACCACTGGCGACCTTGATGTACAATTGACTGCTGTTCAGCTTGAGCTGATCAAGGAAGCCAACTCACCACCACCTCCAAAAGATGCACACGGTTTGCTCGAGTCGTAATAGCACCAGTTTGCAACTTAAAAGTTATCTTAAGCTACTGCCGTAGTGAAAGACGCTGCTTTGCGAAGGGCTGTACATGATACGATTGTGCAGCTGTCAGAAATCGTCTCCGAGAACTCACTCAGGAGTTTGGTAAGTTTTGTGAAAACATTCCAGAAGGAGTTTTCCAAATCTATTATAGCTTCCCTTCCTACATTGCGGCGCTTGGGATGAACTTGTTGAAGAACGCTACCTGGGAA